ATAGCTCAAATTGCTCCTGGACATTCATGCGTTGATCTCAATACTCTTTTGTTCCTTATTTAGTAATAATATTTGGGCAGTTTGATGCATTAAAGCAGTTTCTTTTGTGGCTTCTTCAGAATATTTCAGTACTTTCTTCCACACACTATTCATTTTTCTTCTCTGTACATGCATTCCGGGGCCATTAAAAGCGCTCATACACTATGGGCTGCAGTTTGAGTAAGTATCCCTCAGGGTTTAATTTCAAAGACATTTTATATCTCTGCAAATCTTTAGCTTTATCCCCCTAGTTTATTACTTGCCGTACTCTGAATATGTAACAAATAGCACTTCAAATTTAAGCTCACCCCAAGCAGAAGCGGATGGAAGCAAAATAAATAAACAAACAAATTCTTGCCAGCTAGAGATACTTCAGGGCAAGTGATACAACTAAGAGGCACAGAGTGTTGTCAATGGGCAGCTTCACCGGTTACACATCAGCACACTGTCACTTTATGGATAAATTGAATGGGCCTATTTTCTTTGTCACGGCTGCTTGTCTCTTCATGCATATTGTTTACAAGGACAATTTTTTCTAGGTCTCTGTGACTTTTGCCTTTCTTCAGCTGCTTTTAATGTATTGGCAGCCAACCATTTGTGTTCTTGTTCTCGTTTGTTAAATTATATTTGTTTGCTTCATCTTGAACAATGCCCTGATTTCCAGTCCAGGGTTCTATAAGCCCTCTGCTCATCAGATATTAAATCTATTCTTCATTTTCACCACATGATATATGAAATATTCCTGAGATTATATCTTGTTGGCTAATCATTTGTTTTCTTTAGCTGAAGTTTGTGATCTGGGATTAGGTCTTGTATTTCCTGGCCATCTTTGCTAAGAGAATATATAGTCAGTTTGATTTTTGGGATTGCTCATTTTGTAGTCCCAGATATAAATTAATTTCTAAGCTGTTGGAAGAAGGCATTTCCTGTAAACATGAATTTGTCTCAGCAAAATTCTATTAGTCTGTGTTCTGCTTTATTTTGTACATTTTTCCTATTATTCCAGATACTGCTTTGCTTCAAACGTCTAGTATGCTTCCAGTGTGCATTTGTGTTTGTGTGTGTGTTATGAAAACATAATACAAGTAGCCATAGAATTGCTCAACTTCTGTTTTCTCTCTATATCTGGGGGAGAATAGAGGTCATTCTAATATTAATTCTGCTATTAAACTTGTTTCTTTTCTGTTGCAGATTATTGTAGTCCAGCAGTAAATAAATAAAGTGTATATGCTTTTCTGTTTATGAGAGAAGATATTCATATATTTAAATCTGATGGATGAAAGAATGGATGGATGGATGGATGGATGGATGGATGGATGGATATAGAGATAGATAGATAGACATCTATATACTTGCACACACACACAGATACAGAGAGCGCGAGTGCTTGTTGGGTAGACCTTTGAAAACATTTTCGATAGAGTATCCTGAACATTTTAAAATTATGACAATCCATTTTTTGAATTCTTTTTAATAACATATTTAGATTTCATTGAATTTAACTGAATGTTTCTGCTGCCGTCTATGAAATTCAATTAGAATTTGTGGTCATACAGTGGTATGTTGTGGATAATTTAGTTGGGTCTTTTTTATAAAATGTATTTATCAGACTTATTTAGCTGACTATTTTTAGCACCACAATCCTGGGAGGCTTACAAACAATAATAAAAACTGTAAGCAAACAAGAAAAAAAAAAACTCCCAAAGGACACACCCTGCACCCACACATCCACACCAATTCTATAGGGCTCTAGCCTCACTGTACCCCCACTTCTGGGAAAACCCAGTTGTTCAATGCTTTCTAGAACAGATGTCTTCAACCTTGGTGACTTCAACTGTTGAAGTCCACAAGTCTTAAAGTTGGACCAAGGTTGGACCCCGTTCTAGAAGACTAATATCTCTGGGCTAAAGAGTGTTCCAAAATTTATACTTCACCTTAAGAGCTTGTCTGTATCAATCATTTATTTGTGGAATGTCCTATTAAGTATAGCTTTTCCTTGTGATTTAGTCTCCATATTGCAAGAAAGAACATTTTTGATGAAAAGCAGCATTTGGTAGCACAGGTTTTTTTTTTAATACTCTGCATCCAGAAGCAGTGGTTGTAGTTTTACAAAGGGGAGAACATTGCGTGCTTGTTAAATGAATGGAACTCCTTAAAATAATTTATAAAGGTCTTCAGGACAAAAACATTGTCACTTTGCTGCCAATGCCATGATGTACGAAGTCAGGGAGGAAGAAAAATTATTTCCTGCAAGAGCTGAAAGAAAAGTGTTGCATATGAAGTAAAACCATCCTTTGCTTAACTTGTCCTCATATTGATAGATGTGTCTACCTCTCACTTTTGCTCTTTTAGTTCCCTCATCTTTTACGCCTCCAAGACATTATCCTTTGACACGTTATCTCTTTCCCCAACCACTTTGAGGGTGTCTTTCCTCTTTTCCTTCTTCCTCTTTTTATTTTACTCTGAAGAGTGCCCAGGATGTTTCTTAGTGCTACGAAATCATTGATGTCCTTGTTTGAAAATTTTATAGGGCACCTATAGTCAAAGGAGCCTCCAGGCAGCAAGGAACAGATGGTGAGTTGGGCTCTTGGATGTGCTAATGATCCGTGCAACCCAGCAGCTCGATCCTTTTGGGCCATACAAAGTGGTTGCTTGGATGCATTTTGAAGTACAACAATGAATGCAGCTGTGCAGCGTGAGGTCTACATCTGGCTGTTTTATTTTGAGGGTAAAAGACAGGAAGTGGCTTGCTTATCAAAAAAAAAGGTACAAGGCTGATTGTATGTGAGTGCTAGAAATGGCTTCAGCTATTATTGCTTCTAACTGGAAGCTGCCAGCATGAAACCTGTTTTGTTTTTCCAGAGGCCATTTTAGACAAGCAGAGGCATAATTCTACACGTTCCCACATCAAGAAGACACATCAAATTTAGTCCCTAGGAAGCTTGAAGATCTTGGCCACTTCTCATCTAACGTGGATAAGCTTCTTCTGTTTTTTTTGAGAGCCATATTATACATAAATAAAAAAAACATATGAAAGTACTTATTAATACAGTTAATACAGAGTGTATATCTGCAGAGATTGGTATGTTATTTGCAGCTTTGCCTAGATTCTGGGTCACAGGGAATCTTCTGAATAATTCAGGCACATGGACACTACTTTCCAGACAGTTATGCTGTAGAGATACACAGCAGTGAAGGGTTAGGTAATGTGCCAACATCAGGGACAGTCTAACTCAGTTGGGCCCAATTTGCATTAAACAGTGTCAATAGGATTTATTTTTTTTAAAAAGCATTTGTGGTGGTATACTGATGAGTTAAATTTAGAGCTGTGATCCAGAGAAGGAGTAATAAAACCCACACAAATACAATCTGACACAACAGACTGGTTTACATCATAATGGAGCAATATGTAATCACTTAAAAGAGGCTCCCAAGAGACCATTAAGGGCAGTTCCATATAAGGTTCAATGCTACTTAAGAAAGCAACTCTGGACTTCTGTGATTCCATAAGTTCAGCTATGCTGAGAGGTGAGTGTGAGAATCAGTGCTCATGTAGTAAACGAAGATCAACCTTTTATCAAAATGAAAGGTAGATGGAAACCCAGCCTTCAGCCCAAAAGAGAATGTCATCCAACCCAGGTGCAGGTGGGAGAAAGAGGCGAGAAACTGGACACTGAGAGCATTTTATATACAGTACAGCAGAGGTGTCAAACTCAAGGCCCATGGGCTGAATTTGGCCCGTGGGATGCTTAGATCTGGCCCACAGGGCCAGCCTGGAAACAGCAAAGGACCAGCCTGCAGTGCCTCTGCCAGTGAAAACAGACCTTGGGAGGACCACGGTGGTAGAGGGATGCAGGAAGCCATCCCAGCCGAAACGGGGCTCAGGAGTCCATTTTTTTCTGGCTGGCCGCAATAGGAGCCCCCCAACATGAATAATGTCAATCTGGCCATGCCCCTCTGGCTACCCCAACTCCAGCCACCCTGAGGTCAAACACAATTGATGCGGTCCCCTGAAGTACAGGACTCATTGGAATTCTTTAGAATAGCATTTTGCTTTTAAAAAAAGAAACCAGTGAAGATCCTTATTAGATTTGGCAGGGAGAAACCGACCATAGGCCAATTTGTCACTATTCTGGGTAGTTGTGGGCAATCTGCTCCCCCATCTGCAGGAACTCCTCACCTCTGGATCTTGGGTCTTTCAAGAGAAAAAGTGGTTTGTTGTCTTTCTAGCTCTCCTTTGTAGGAAGTGCTGTCATTTTCTTTGCATTTGACCAAAGAAGTGCACAAAATCCTGGAAGAAAGATCATGGGGGGAGGGGAGAACAGATGTACAAGCAATTAGTTTGACAACCGTTCTGCACAGAGGGAGACAAGGGCATTTATGTTATTTCAGGATGTCTAGAAACTCAGTTGGGCGGTGAGTTTCTCCCTGCCTCCAGCATTTGTAACTTTGAAGATGGATTGCTTTAAATTGATATTTCAATTTTTGAGATAGCCTTGACTCCATAATAACCTTTGGAGGCTTACCCTAAATGTCTTTTGAAGGACTGGAGAATGGAAGCGATGATGATGTGGAAAGATCTATAGCCTTAATTGGGGGTGTGCTGCGTGGACTGAAATTTTCTTTGCCTGTTAGGAACCTGCAGAAGAATGAAACTGATCCCCCTTCCCATTAGATAAGGAGAGTTTTGGTAAACTGATGAGTATTTATTAGCCATTCACTTTTTCAGTCATAATAGACTTCTGAGACATCACTTCCCAGCCACCTGGTTGCCACGGCACTGTCAGAGATGCATTCACTGCAGTCAGCTAAAGAGGGAGATTTTATTTTCCTGTTTCCCAGAAAGATGGGGAAGATGGAGGCTACTGCTGATGACTCAAAGTCATTCCCTGCTCTCTGAATGCTGCAGATTCAGAGGGCAGTGGCACTTTTTATATGATTCCCTGCAATCAAAAGTGCAGATGGAAGACTCAACCGATGATATCCCATACGATACAAGGGCTGCAGGGTTTCAGTGCAGCAATGCAAAAAAAGAAAATGATGGCTCATTATCTAATAGGAATGAACGTAAGTTCCAGATGGAGAGAGATGAAATTGATTACGCTTCTTAGACTTCCAAAAGGAAAAGAAAAAAGGGGGAAAAAAAGGAATTATTTCCCCCCTTCTATTCATTCATATCCAATTCTCACAGATTGCCAGGATCTGTCAAGTCCCTGCAGTTTTATTGGTAAGGTTTTTCAGAAGTGGTTTTCCATTGCCTGCTCCTTAGGGCTGAGAGAAAGTGACTGGCTGAAGCGAAGGTGCTTTTCTGCCTAAGCAGGGCTTGTTATTGTTGTTGTTATTATAGTTGTTAGTTGAGAACAGTGGCGGAGTTCAAATTTTTTTACTACCGGTTCTATGGGCGTGGCTTGGTGGGTGTGGCAAGGGAAGGATACTGTAAAATCTCCAGTCAGAGGTGGTATTTGTCGGTTCTCTGAACTACTCAAAATTTTCACTACCGGTTCTCCAGAACTGGTCAGAACCTGCTGAATACCACCTCTGGTTGAGAAGTTGTGTCTGACCCATTGCAACCCCATGGACAACATTCCTCCAGGCCTTCCTGTCCTCTACCATCCTCTGGAGTCCATTTAAGCTTATGCCTTCAATGGTTCCATCCAGCCACCTTATTCTCTGTCATCCTCTTCTTCTTTTGCCCTTAATCATTCCCAGCATTGGGTTTTTCTCCAGTGAGTCTTTCCTTCTCATTAGGTATTTGAGTTTCATAAGCAGGACTAGAACTCCCCAACTCCTAGTTTTTAGCCTGGTACCTTAACCACTACACCAAAGTGGCTTTCAAAGGAACAAATATATGTAGTAAACTAAACTATATGATACCAACTAAATTCAAACACATAAGTATACATAATAGAAGGAACTCTAGAATAAGCCGCAAATTAAACATGAGCTGAACATGAAGTATTTGCAGCTTTTAAAACCATGGGATGCCATTTTGGTTTTCTTCCCTTCTTGGCCTTATAGCTAGGATACTGATTTCTGTGAATTCATAGCTGCAATCCAAAACAGAATTTCAGCTAAATGAGGCTTTGATTCTTGTGTGTATAAAACTTGTAATATTTTTGAAGCTTTTCTTTTAATGATTATTTCTAGACCATTGAATTCTATTAGTTCTAGTCCAATGCTAGTTTAGCAGGATACCTAGATATATTAATATTAATAATAACACCGTGACATCTGATGATAGAGACATGTTGCTTGTCATTAGTGATATTCAATAGCCACAAGGGTCATTATACTTGTGTAATAGAGCTATAGCAGGTATTCTGTGAAAGGAAATAATCCTTTTTCTTGTAACAAAATCCTAATGTTTGAAATGTTTTAAATTTTGCTATAAGATACTTAGTACTTAGTATCTTAGAAGCATTGCCTGTGAGATGTGCTTCTAATATTTCTAGAATTGCATCAGCGAGGAAAAGCAAGCTATTGAATTAAAAAAATCATTTCTAAGCCTTCATGCATGTAATGAAAGCTCCATTTTTCTTCTGGGATTGATAAAAAAGGATTTAAGAACCCTATTTCCCTGGTTCATAAAGCTCTCAATCTTGCCTGTGTTGAATCATGTTTATCTTAGCCTCCTCACCAGGAAAAATTTCTCATTGAGGATAGCTGGAATGCCTGTGTCTGTCTGACAGCTGCCAATCTAGTTATCCCAGGTTTTAAGCCTGGGCTTAAAACAAGGACCTTAAAAAAAGCTTCAAATTCAACATAGTGGAGCCATCTATTCTAATTCGTCAATGCAGTTTTACAATTGCTTCATGCGGTGAAGGAAGGCATAGCTACTGAGGCTGCTTCTGAAACATTTATAGCTAGGCTGATTGATGACTTTAGCAATATAGTAAAGCTTTCAAAAAAAAGGGGTGGGGGGGAGAAAGAAAAGGAGCCAAAACATTGATTGATCACAGTCTGCAGTACCAAATGGATTGTTCTAAATACAATTCCTTAAACTGTCATGCAGGAGATAGATACTTTCAGCTGCAATTAATGGATGGACTCACAAGGATTCCATAATTAAAACACTTTATTTCACCTAAATTACTCAGGGCCTGCACAATGTCTTTGGTTTACCTATCCGCTTTCTTACAGCAAAGGATGCAATCTGTTTCACGGGCAGTCTGGTTCTTTAATTGAAGTGGGGGAGTTTAGGGATGTAAATAAAGAAAAAGGAACAGCCAATATGGTGAGTAGGGTCTGGAAACATTCATTACGAGGAACATTTTAAGGAGTCTAGCTTGGAACGAAGACTAGTTTGGAGACATGCTAGAAAAGTGTTTCTCAACCTGGGCATCTTGAAGAGGTGTGGATTTCAATTCCCAGAATTCCCTAGCCAGCCATACTGGGTGAGGAATCCTGGGAATCAAAGTTCACACATCTTCAAGATGCCTAGATTGAGAAATATTGTGCTAGAACAGTAAAATAATGGAGGAAATCAGATCATGTAGATAGCTGTTTTTCTCTTTCTCGGGTTTAGAGCTCAGAGTCATTTGCTAAAACCAGTAGAGGAAGAATCAGGACCCATGCAAGAAATATTTTTTTAAAAAAACAAACAGAGCAGCTATTGTTTTGGTTTTTTTAAAGCCTTTTTTGCTGATTGCAAAGAGGTTATAAGGATTCCCTCAGAGAAAATTTGGATGTGGCCCCAAACACCTGAAACTAAATCTAATATTTAGAGTGTCAAGTAATCCAGAAGGAGACATTCTATCTTCCAGATTGGCTGATGTAGGAAGTGTCTTTTAATGCAGCCTACTTCCGGTTTTTATTAAAAACAGTTTTTATAGGCTTTTATCTGGTGAGTAAGTCATAACTTGACAAAAAGCTGATTCCCCACCCTCCCCCAAATTCCTGTATGTATTGAAATATACTGTATCAGGGCATTGTAGTGTATTAGGGTGTCCTTGAAATATATTACTTATCAGAGATACTTATTTCTTTTTAAATTTCTTACTTGAGATCTGAATATAGCTTAGAGCCCAGGTACCTTTAAGACTGCATTTTCCTTATCTGAATATTCTTTCCAGGTGAAACTTTTGGTCATGTCTATTTTCATGAAGTAAAATGAATAGAAGCTGGAAGGTGTTGCTCTCCTAGACTCATAGAAACTCCCTTCTTAGTAGGAAGATGTTCTGCATCTTTTTTAACATTCTGGAAAATGACTGAAGGCAGAACTTTCCTTAATAACATTTCAATAGATTATTGTTTCTGTCTTTAATTTACCGGTTACTTCAATTTGAATTACTTAAAATAGATTTATTCCCTGAAATGTTATTTGGTTCTGTTTATTTTTCATTACCGCTATTATTATCCCTGTATTTTTTAACTTTGATTTGTTCTTGGTTGTTTATATTTATTACTATTTAGTGTGGGTTTTTTTTAGCTATTAGGGATGTTTCTGTTGATTGTTTCATAAACCACTGTAACTCTGTGTCGATGGGCAGTATTTGTTTAGAAAATTTATATAGACGTCTATTTGTTCATACAATACAAATAGACAGATGAATCAAGGAATACATGAATATTTCAGGGTATGCTTCATTTTCCATAGGCCTGCCTGCAAACATAAGGAACTGAGGGGAAACTTTTTTCCAAGTGCCATTATTTGTCCCAAAGTAGAATACAGTGGCTTATTATGCGCCATTTTTATCAATCGTCTCTAAACTGTTGGTTGTTCTCACTATGAGAATGGCAATTCACTTCTGTGAATAGTAGCGCAATTTATATTTTGATTTAAATATACATATTTAAATATAAATATTTAAATCTGATTTTGGCAGCTATTTCTGTTTTGTGGCAGTGATTTTTATAGTTCTTTAATGACAATAATTATTCTTACGTCTGAGGGCCCTTTAGAATGGAATGAAGTGTAGAACATAATTTAAGAATATATTATGTAAGATGCCAAGGGTGTAAACCCTAACTGCAAGTAAAGCATTTTGACATTTATAGCTGACTATGGCCTAAAGCTTAATTTGCTGCCTATCTGATATATAAAGGTATTACCAAAATAATTGGTGTCAAACCAGGGATGTGTGGAAGTTGCTTAAAACTGATGTGACCAATGTTTAGGCAGTAATGGTAGGTAACTTCACTATATGGGTTCCTTTTTGTTCCACATCAGAGGAAGCAGAGACCAAGCTAACAAACCCTGTCAACTTCACTACTTCTGGCATTGCAAAAGACAAAACATTTTTAGCCAATTTGTCCCCTTGACTACTAGAGAATGCACCCAATAATTTAACTTAAAAGAAAATATTTCAATGGATGTTGTAGTGTTTTAATCTGTATTAGCTAATATTTAAAACAGAAATTTTCAGGAACACTTCAGTTATATTTTCCTGTTTATTACCTTGGTCTGTTTGATGCATTGGGTATTTAATTGCCTGTGATATGTACTGTAATATCTTATGTCTTTATTAATTTACAGCCCATTGCCCATAGTGATGACTTAAATAGATCTTAAAATAATAGCAAGGTTATTATTTTCGTATAAACAGCAGGGTGAATGGAGAGGATAAAGTGCCTAGATAGATTGTTTAAGGAATATACCCAGAGACCTGTGACATGTTTTATAATTGTGCCCAGTTTTGTGAAGATATAGATATTTGTAGACTACCTCACCTAGCAATAACTAGCTATTTATAAACTACACAAATACTAATATTAGAGGCCCAATGTCAGAGCTGAAAAGGAGAGAGTAATTTTGTATTTCTCATATTTTCCCATGAATCCATTTCCCTCCCTTTATAATGAGGCATTCCAGCTTTATTTGTTATAATAGGGTCTGAAAGAGTTTTACGGAATTATATTTCTACATTCAGTTTGGTTAATGCCATCATATGTGAAGTATTGAATCTTGTCAATTTGCTGCTGCTAGGCTTCTTTCTAGCTTTAGAAACTTTAAAGCTTGGGGCTTTTAAAGTCTAAACATTTTGGAACCTAAAGTTGTCTTCACCAAGATCCCTTCCTACAATACTTCAGATCCCAGGGAACTTGTGCATTCCTTTTATTCCACAAAT